ATTTAAGGTGCTGTACTATTTCTTCCAAAATGTTGCTGTCAATTGCTTCAAAAACAGACATAGTAACTTATATTTGAAATTGTGGTCGAATCTGTCTGACCTCTGCATAACTTGAGGATGTGCTAATCGCCTTTCTGATATTATTGATCTTCTCAGAAAAAAAGGAAGCAAACTCACAAAAACAAAGCAAATTTATTTCACAAAATTAAGGTGAGACTGTTAAGAATATGACTAATACTGAATAAACAGCCTGTAAGGTAAGGCTATTAAATAGCAGTGCCAAACTATCTCACAGTTTTCAATAAATGTCCACAGTATAGCAGGAGTAGCAGATTGACTGGGATTTCTATCTTTTATATCTTTTGCAGAGGATGATTCCATTCCAAATACCAGTGGATTCAACATTACCACGCTGTGAACCCAATCTCCCCACACCTGAGACAGGTACTGTTCCGTTTCTGAATGCTGGATGGCCAATACTGTGTTCCGGCCAAGATAAAATACACAAGATTGAGTCATCATTATTTTTAGATAGTTTTCCCAGAAGAAAGATATTGTACATTTTAAATATGTATATTTTCCAAAGGTTAATCATATTTTTATTAATAAATATTTTAAGTATAAAACATAAAATATTTTATTTAAGAAAGAAATGTTTTATAAGAACGTAAAGCACATTCTCTTATGCTTTTATCAATTCTTGTGGAGACATTATGAATGTAAAAGATACATTTGAGGGAATATGCCATATGCATAAAGCTTCAGGTAGTTCAGCTTTGGCTGCTGAAAAACAGCAGCCAAACAGCAGCTGTTTTGAGGCAGACATGTTGCACATACCCTCTTCCAGGAAAGGGGTATTAACATGATATATCGTGCATAATTTTTTTTTGCCACTGGCCAGAAACAAAATTTCCACCCGCACATGCATTCCTAATAAAGCAGAAGATGAGCACAGATGGAGTTTTTTATTTATTTATTATTATTTAAAAAAAAAAAAATTTTATACGTTGTATATGTACACCACCATTCAAAAGTTTGAAGTCAATACATCAAAAATACAGAAAAACTTCATTTGTCATTTATTCCTGTAATGCAAAGCTGAATTTTCAGTATCATTACTCCAGTCTTCAGTGTCACATGATCCTTCAGAAATCATTCTAATATGCTGATTTATTATAATTATCAGCATGGAAAACAGATGCTACTAAATATTTTTGTGGAAACTGTGATACTTTTTTTTTTCCAGGATTCTTTGATGAATAGAAAATTCAAAAGAATACAATTTATTTGAAATAGAAATCTTTGTCACTTCTGATCAATTTAACATCATTAACGTCACCATATTAACATAATTACTGTATAATAGTAATTTCTTTATAAAAAAAAATTGTGCTAACCCCAAACATTTGGTATATGGTGGTATATATCATTTTTTATAAATATTATTAAATATAATGTATTAAAAGTATTGTTTTTCCTGCTCACATTACAGCAGCAGAAATAAATATTGAAAATATTAATAATTACTACATGTATTATATAATGTAAAAAATAATATAAATGTTCATTGTCATATATTATTTATGTATAATTTACTGTATGTAAATAGTATACATAATAATTTAAACTATAAATATTAAGTATTCGCCATAAATTAAATAAACAATTCTTGCACTGATGAATCTGTAACAATGATTAATAAAATAAATGTGTATCTCACAGTGTTCAGTAAACGTCCACAGTACAGATTCACTGAGACTTCCGTCTTTTATATCTTTTATAGAGAATGATTCCGTTCCAAATCCCAGTGGATTCCGCATTACCACGCTGTGAACCCAATCTCCCCACACCTGAGACAGGTACTGCAGCTTTCTGCTGTCAGATAACAGCCGTTACACTTCAGTCGGTTATGTACAGCTCAATGACACGTCCTTTTGTTCCTCTCTGTGTGTGTGTGTGTGTGTGTGTGTTGAACAGGATCTCTGTGCAAGAACGTGAGGTCACTGTCTCCCATGCCAACCGCCCGTTCCCCTCAGAAGGTGTCTGGTTTATGCTTAAGTCACTCTGTGTTAATAGTTGGTGATAAGTTGGTGTATCTAATGAAGTTTGTCCTTGCTTTTCTCTGCAGTCAATGGTCCCGCCCCTCACGCCCTCCCCGACCGATGGCTTGCCGATGGGGAGCCTGGCGTCTCACTCACCTGCCCGCTCTGGCAGCTACAGCAGCGGGATCTCATCCCTCAGCCGCTGCAGCGTCTCCGAAACGTGCGGGATCGACCTCCCGCCGCCCGACCCTCCTCTACCCCCCACCGTCCCCGCAGACGTGCCCATTCGCCGGGGCAGCAAGACTCCTCCGCCCTACAGCGTCTACGAGCGGAACAATCCCCGGCGAGCGACGCCACTGCCTCACAGTCTGTCAGTGCCGCCCAGTACTGACAACCCCAGCCTGACCGGCAAACACCAACTGAACCGCGTGCAGCGCATTAATTCAGAACCCCGTCACCGGCCCACACCCAGGAAGGTCTCCCAGCTGTAGCGCGTCAGCGGTAACCGGAAACTTGGACTACGTCGCATTTTTTGTAAAATAACTGTAGGTTATGCATCATAATTGGCAATGTTTTCAAATGCAAGGAGGTGCATTTTTGTGGAGGATAGGGAGTGGCATATAAATAAATCTTTTTTAAATCTTTAAAAAAAAAAGAGTGTCAATTAGAATGTACATGTAAATAAATAAATCAAAAAATTTCAATAAATTTGTCAAAGTCCAAAGCAAAAATTTAATTTGAAAGTAATTTATTTATTTATTGACACATTTCCTGCTTTATTTAGACTATATATAAATAATCAAACAAGTAAATAAATAAATGTTAATAAATCTATCATAGTCCAATACAAAATGTAATTTAAAAGTTATGAATTGACACATTTCATACATTATTCACATTTCAAATATTTTAAACAAGAGTGTCAATAAATAAATAAATGATGTCAATAAATAGATAAATATTAATATATCAAAGTCTTTTGCAAAATATTATTTTATTTATTTATTTATTTTATTCATTCAAGCTTTGATTTATTTGTGTTAAAATTATATATATATATATATATAATTCGCCATAAATTAAATAAACAATTCTTGCACTGATGAATCTGTAACAATGATTAATAAAATAAATGTGTATCTCACAGTGTTCAGTAAACGTCCACAGTACAGATTCACTGAGACTTCCGTCTTTTATATCTTTTATAGAGAATGATTCCGTTCCAAATCCCAGTGGATTCCGCATTACCACGCTGTGAACCCAATCTCCCCACACCTGAGACAGGTACTGCAGCTTTCTGCTGTCAGATAACAGCCGTTACACTTGAATCAGTTATGTACAGCTCAGTGACACGTCCTTTTGTTGCTCTGTGTATGTGTTGAGTAGGATCTCTGTGCAAGAACGTGAGGTCACTGTCTCCCATGCCAACCGCCCGTTCCCCTCAGAAGGTGACTAGTTTATGCTTTATTCACTCTCTGTTAATAGTTGGTGTTTCTTAATGAAGTTTGTCCTTTGTTTTGCTCTGCAGTCAATGGTCCCGCCCCTCACGCCCTCTCCGACCGATGGCTTGCCGATGGGGAGCCTGGCGTCTCACTCTCCTGCCCGCTCTGGCAGCTACAGCAGCGGGATCTCATCCCTCAGCCGCTGCAGCGTCTCTGAAATGTGCGGGATCGACCTCCCGCCGCCCGACCCTCCTCTACCCCCCGCCGTCCCCGCAGACATTCCCATTCGCCGGGGCAGCAAGACTCCTCCGCTTTATTTATCAAATAGGCAATTTAAGTTATAAAACAATTTAATTATTTTAATTTATTAAATAAAGTTAATACATGAGTAAATTCATTGGACATTTGACTATGTATTTATTGACACGCATTTCATGATTTTTTTTTTTTTTAATTGACAAAAGATTTCTTTATTATTATGTCACTCTCAGTCCTCCATACGTTTAGATTTTTAATTTAGCAATTTGTGTTTTAAAATCGAAATGAAAGTAAACCGGAATGCTCCCATGATGAATATTTTCCTTTTTTGTTCATTGATATTAAGTAGATCATCTTAATTTCATTTTAAAGCTGCATATTTGGTAGTTTAATGACTATTTTGTGGATCGGCTCTTTAGACCCAGTCTAAAATGCAGCTCAGGATTGTTCTTCACCGATGAACTGAGCAGTCCTTCTGATATGCAGTTACGGCTTGAAATGAAATGTACTAGAAAAACCATGAAGAGATTATGTAGGCTACGCTTTGAAATGGCATGTAATTTACAGCAAAATCTGAAGATCTGGCAGGTCCATATCCCATTTAGAGAGCTCTGAAACATATTGCTAGCAAGGTATTTTTGATAGAAGTACAAAATCAATGTTGTACAGCTTTTCTTTCCACACTATAGCAGTTTTTTTTTTTTTTTTGCTCTTACACAAACC